TCTATACTTGTGGTTTACCAATGAATGCATAGTTTTTAGAATTACGTATACATGAGCACTCAAAAAAAGTAATGAGTGACGCAAATTATTGTATTGATTAAGTTAAGAACCACTCACTCCATTTTCTTGAAAATTTGGCAATACAGTACTGCTGTTATTAGTATTACACTGCATCTGTACAAACTGATATACAGTCCTTGCAAAAATGTTGATGACGTTATAACAAAATTTTGTATTGAAAAAACTCTTGAAACAAACGCGTAGCACGTTTCTTTATGTTTACTTTAATATTACATACATGTCTTTATTTCAACTTATAAGGATTATCATAAAAACCACTTTCGACCGATTTTTGTACCCTATATAATTGGTTCTCTAATTAATCAACCAGCACTTTTTTTATTACGTTTATTTGCACATTAAGTTTGAGTAGTTCACTGTTTAAGTTGTGCTACAACTATCTTATCTGCCAACGTTATTGGCTCTGATTTTCTGAGTTTCTGTCATTTTATAATACCTATCATCATTTTAGTCTTTTCTTACTCTTTTTGCGTCTTCCATAGAGTCATCTATAACCATTCCAAACAGCATGGGACTCAGTACGCAACCTAGTTAAATTCCAAAGTTTTTGTTGCAGGTTCTTTAGACTCCTCATTATTTGGTCTCAGGATGTTTATGTTGTTTTCGTACATCGATCTTATTAACATTACCTTCTCTCCTTCCTAAATGTTTTGTAATATCTCAGAAGCCTTCTAAGTCTATGAAGAAACCTACAGGTATAAATTTATTATTCATATTTATTAATTTCTCACTGGGTTACCTTATAACGAATTTAGACCTTCGTCGACTTCTAAAATTGCCTCGTGTTTTTTGTATGGTGTTTTCTACCTTATTTCCTAGTCATTTCGCTACTACACTTTGTAACAGCTTTCCTGGGATACTTGCTAAAGTTAGATCTTTATAACTGCTGTATTTTCTCCATTTATATGTTATAAGTTATAACTTTATTTTTCCGAGTTCAAATCTTTTAATACTTTTTAATTCTCAATGCTCCATTCATTAGTTAAGTTCAGATTATCAAGGCGTACTATTAACATCATTTTCTGTTAATTCATTACTTTCTTTATGTAGATGGGTAATAAATGTAGTCAAATGTTCAGTTTACTAGTTTAACTGAAATCGCATGTTTCACTAAATGTTACATGCATTAGTATTTTGTCTGTTCAATTATCCATTCTCGTTGTTATAAATTGTTTTCCCGTCGAAATCAACTTGTGCGCATATATTATGGGCAGTCTTTAATAATTTACGACATCGGTAACAATGCTATCCGGTGGTCAAACATGATTTAGGTAATATCCAGCCAGTTTCCAGTATAAAATATTACTTATCGACTGTAGCCCTTTAGACAGGTTTTAGTATTTCACATAGCAGACAAAAAATTGATTTCGATATCATTTCAGCAAAGTAAATTGAATCGTAAATCAGGTTAATTCTTGCCTAAAATATTGCCATCGGGTCGATGTTCGATGAGATGTAGGTAATGAAATTTATGTAGTGTGATCTATAATTATAAAAAACGCACAAGAGTACATACGCAAGCAAATTTACGTACATATTCTATATGTATTTATTCACTCTAACACCTGTTTGATATAAAATAATTAATTAAATATTTAATTAATAGAACAGCAGAATCAATGTTATAGGTTCACGAAAGAAAACATGTACGAGGCCCACACGAACTCACCTGGTCCAGCGGTGGAAATTAATATAATAATCAAACGACTTTAAATTTTTTATAATTCTTATTGTTAATTTTTTGTTTTTGCCGTACTTAACTAGTAATGCTTTTAAACATAATATACAGAGTTTCTACGAGAAGCTCCAGGTCCAGAAAATTCAAGACGCAACCAGAAATACGATTTTAAAACCATGTTTCCCATCTCATACCATTTAACAAAAAAAGTAAAACATAGTTACCTGTTTTGTGCAACAACACTTACGTAGTATCAGCTACTGTTCTGTTAAAACTGATATTTCGTCAGATTTGACACAGATTATGTTTAAACGACGAAAAAACTGATATTTTGATAATATCATGAGTGTTTCACTGTTCCGTACATGAGATGCCCTAACGAGTTGTTCTTTTGAATGTGTTTGTTTTTTATTTTAACCTAGCACTTGACGTTTATTTCCAAATTATCAAAATCAAACAACTATGTTTTACTTAAAAAAAAAATAGTGATACTAATATCATGACTTATGTTTATTGTTCTACTAAGTGTTAAAATAAATATACCACGGTTTAGTGCAATTAATCATTTCGTATAGGGTTATCTTCTATAGGGCAATGCTAGAGATACATATTCCACAACATAAAAAAAAGATGTATGGCTGGAATTACTAGACTGGCGTCATGAAAGTCAAAATTCAAAGAATTAAAAATCTTAACTTTCCATCGTTGTACATTTTATCATTACTTGTCCTAATTAAGAATCAAAATAAGCAGCGTCGTGAAGATGTTTATGCAAGAGGAAAAGCGAAAGTTGTTTCGACAGAACTTCCCTCGGCCCTGAAGTAAAATGTAACATATCCATTATTTGCGAAAAATTATAAAATTTAATTTTGCGAATGTTATTTCTTTTGTAAGAAACCCTATAAGTTATAATAAAGATATGTAAATATGTAACGTTAAAGTAAATGTAAAGCAGCGTGCTACGCGTATGTTTCAAATGAGTTTTCCTTAACAAAATTTTGTGATGACGACACGATTGGCAGATTAATGTAGTGTTATAGTTAGTAATAACAGTATTGTATTCGCAAATTTTCCGGAAAATGGAGCTAGCCCTTCTTGATCTGATCAATAAAATAAAATTATTCATTAATTTTCTTGAGCTACCTGTATAAGCAAATATAAAAAATATTATTGCAATGATAAATCACAAGTTCAGGTTGATCATATTTTGCATAATTCAGAGAGGATTTGTTCGACAAAGTTTTGAGATGACATCATGCATTTTTTGGGAGGAATACTTAAATGAATTAATTTTGATCAACGATTTACTATGATTGATTACAATAAGCTCAAAACGTTTGCAAGGTTTCAAAGCATTCGGTTTTCTAGTTTCTGATTTATTCGATAAAATAAACTGACTCATTATGAATTTTTTTGAGTCACCTTGTATAAGCAAATCTAAGAAATATTAAAGCAATGATAAATCACAAGTATAGATTCATGCTATTTTGTACATTTTAGATATGATTTATTCGGTAAAATTTTGAGGTGACGTCATCAATTTTTTGGGAGGGGATAAGCAAATATAGGAATTTTGATTAAAAAATTAACACGCTCATGATAACTTTAAAACATCTGCAAGATTTCAAAGCATTCGGTTTTTCACATTCAAAATTAGATTGCAAAATGTTGTTATATATTATATTCTAAAATTCTGGATGGTTTGGGTAAGAACTTAACCGGATTCATAAACTACATGTGTAGGACTATGTTATCTTATACAATTTAAGACCCACAATTTTGAGGAGATGTCATTGCATTGTTCGTAGGAATGATTAGATAAAGTTTAGTTAGTGTTTATCATCTCATGATATTCGTAATACACATATAAAATTTTACAAAAACCGGTCTGACACAGACAGACAGACAGAAATGCGAGACCGATTTTTTCGTACTCTACGGGTCATGACCCATCGAGAAAACATTAATGTTGTGAGTCGCCCAATGGACTCGACTACAATACTTCCTTAACCTACGCTCAGGAAGTAAAAAGTATTGGTTAAACATTTTTTTCGTTTCTTCGTTCCATAAAATAACCCATAGTAAATAAATAAGGGTATCCTGTTATAAAAAATTGATTAAACTCAAGCCAGAATTCAATCAAATTCGGTCAATAGATTCGTTTCGGCTTTATACAAAAAAAAAAAAATTATCGACCGGTGTTACTATTCATTGTGAGTTTTTTTAAATGATACAACCTGACAGTAGTACGTTGTATTTAGTGCGACTTAACAATACACATAGATGTTAAAGTAAAATACAAAACTAAAGAGGGCAGGGGTGGAGCTTATGTAGTCCCGATTCATATATTTATAAAAAGGGGAATTGGAGGACTCGTCGAGCTATAGACCTATTTCTATTCTCCCAGTTTTTTTCCAAAATATTCGAAGGGCTCTTGAAAGAAAGAATAATAAAATACTTCGAAAGCAAAGAGCTCTGGAATTTTAGCCAATATGGATACATGGAAGGCTAATCTACAATGACAGCTCTGGTAGAGGTAATAAATTACATAACAGAGGCGATAGATAAAAAAGAATGCACAGCGCTAACTACACTAGATTTATCCAAAACCTTTGATTTAGTGGGCCATGAAATCCTCTTGGAAAAGTTACAACTTTATGGTTTTCGTGGGAAGCAAGTGGAAATATTACGATTATTGTTGGGGAACAGATTACAAGAAGTGCGATGGAATAAGACATCATCCGGAAGAAAACAATTACATAAGGGGGTTTCGCAAGGTTCTATCTTAGGGTCCCTTCTCTTCACAATATTTATAAATGATCTGCCATATGTTCTAGATATGGTTTCAAAATGCTGTCTGTATGCCGACGATACAGCGTTAGTAACAAAATGTACATTGATTTATTTATTTATTTATTTATTTATTTATTTATTTATTTATTTATTTATTTATTTATTTATTTATTTATTTATTTATTTATTTATTTATTTATTTATTTATTTATTTATTTATTTATTTATTTATTTATTTATTTATTTATTTATTTATTTATTTATTTATTTATTTATTTATTCTAGTCCCTTAACAGGCATAGAGCCCAATTACTAAGGGGCATTGCTTATACAACTAACAAATTACAAATATCAAATTACAAAAATATTATACAACAGAATAGAATTACTATTAAACTCCTTAAATATATCATTATATTCTACTAAGATTAAATGCATTATATTTCGGTCAAATGGAGCAATTTCTAATTTCAGACAATCTGCAATCGAATATGTCCAGAGTTCGCTCAATATCTTTGTGGAACTCCAACATTTGGTATAACGGCGACGCTTTCGCAGCATTGGATCTTGGTATGCTTTGGTGAAAAGTTATTTTATTTCTTAAGTTCTTCTTTGGAACATTCAAACTTATTAACTCCAAAATGTTTTCCGACTTAATAATGTAGTTAACAATATTATATAGTAAAATACCATATGCACATTTTCTTCGTGATTCCAAGCTGCGCATTTTAAATCTTTGGTTGAGGATATCGTTAGGAATACCCCTATATGGATACTCACCATCTATTCTAAACACCAAACATTTCAGCCAACGTCTTTGTACTCTTTCGATATCTTCTACATGCACTTGATAAATTGGATTCCATATAACAGAGCAATACTCTAGTCTAGATCTAACATGTGCGGAATATAACAATTGCATAACATTAGAATCCCTTATCTCTCTAGAATTACGAATAGCAAACCCTAAACCTTTATTCGCGGATGCCCTCACCTTTACGATATGTTCAATAAAGTTCAACTTGGACTCATAGGTTACTCCCAGGTCTTTAACAAATTCTGGACGTTCCAGCACTACTCCATCTAAGTTATATTTAAATTCAATGGGTTTAACTTTTTTACTGTAGGATTTGATCACACAGTTGCATTTGTTTATAGTAGAGATGTACCGACTAGTGTCGGCCGACTAGTCGGCTTTGTCAAAACCGGTTAAAATTGGTTTAATCGACCGAAGATTGGTGTCAAAATGTAGATAATCTTCCGCTAGTTACGATTCTGAAATCGCTGTCACGATATCTGGTCCAATAAACACGCAAAGCGAATTCAAAATTTCCAAAAATTTTCCAAAAAAGTGGTTAAAATTGGTTAAGTAATGTATAAACTGCCCTAAATTGTGTTATTCTTTATTTTTGTACTGGGTTACTACAAAAAATTAAATGTTAAAATTATCCAAACAAATTTAACACATTTTTGGGAAAACAAAGAAACTAGTTATTTCTTTTATTAAAATAAAACAAGTTTTTAAGGTAGTCAGAGAAATTGAAAAAAAAAACACAGTGTCCGTTGCATTTATAAACCGGTTTTGACAAAGCCGACTAGTCGGCCGACACTAGTCGGTACATCTCTAGTTTATAGGTAGTACACGGTCTAAAATAATAAAACTTACGGCTAAACAACTTAAATATCTAACAAAACGGTTATACGAACAAAATTAAATTAAATGTCCGGCATGGTCGTTCCTCCTGGGCGGCGACTTCCCTCAGGACGGGCTCCTCTTGGCTCTGGGGGCGGCGACCTTGAGATCTGGAAAACGCGCGAAGACGGCACGGTGACCCGGGAGGGGAGCGCGGTGACGGTAACGACGCGTGCACGACGGTTTCGGTTTTTGACGGTAACAAAAAAAACGCGGTGACGGTGACACGGTTTCTCGCTCGGGGGCGGCGATTCCAAAACCGGTACAAAACAGGCAGGCGACCCAAAAAGGTACTTACGGTGGTCGGAGGGTCGAACTGCTCACTTCTCACTTCTCAAAAAACCTCTTCTTCACTCAGAAAACGGCCCCAGAACTTCCGCACTCCTTGGAGTTTCAGGCAAGAGTCCTCTTCTTCCGCCGCGGCGGCGCGGCGATCGCGAATTTACCCCCGGCTTTCGCGGTACGCGTCACGGTTTCCGGCCCGCGAAAATTCGCTTCGTTACAATATGTAGCTACATGCGTGTACATTTGTGAATGTAAGACATACTCAAAAACTTTCGCGAAATTATTAATAAGCGTAATTGGTCGATAATAATTACTGATTTCATTCCTCTGCCCGGCTTTATATACTGGAACGACCTGAGAATTTTTCCATACATCAGGAAATACTGACGTTCTTAGAATGAGATCAAATATGACTTTTAGAGGATTCGATAAAACACTAGCACAATGTCTAATCAAAAATGACGGTATTGTATCCGTGCCTGCTGTCATAGATGATTTAAGCTTTTTTATGGCATTAAATACAGTTTTTTCATGTATAAGTTTGATGTCTAAAAGATTATTTGCTGACATATTAACAACTGAAGTATATTGCTCTGAGTCAAACACAAACGATTTCTTAAAATAATGGCAAAAGGCATTGACTATATCCTGAGGATTGTCGACTTCCTTGCCCTCCTAGATCATAAGGGAAGGAATATCCACTTGGTTGTTTTTTTCTTTTATAAACGTCCAAAACTTTTTTGGATCAGCTTTTATATCTGCAACTGCACGATTCATATAGTACCGGTAGGAGTCTTTCAGCAGCCTTTTGGCTTGAGTTGAAAATATCTAATGATTCAGCACATTTATCTTTTTTATATTTGACCCAGGCTTTATGTTTTCGTCGCAGAATGCATATAATTGCCTTCTTATACCACTTTGGATAGTTACCTACAGCGGATTTTTTTAATGGAATGCAAGACCGAAATATGTTGAACAATATGTCATATAGAAATTCTAACGCTTCATTGACCTCATTAGTTGATTCAATAACAGAAAAATCAGTGTTGTATAAATGCATGTGTACATCTACTCAAAACCTGGAAAACTTCGACAAAATGCTCAATAGATAGCAGAACAAGAGTTTAGGCAAAACAATTTAATTAGTAAGCGGGAGAAAACAGAAAAAATTCAATTTAGTACAACAGCTAGAAAAAAAAAATCCAAAAAATTACTGGGAGTACACTTGGATAATGAGCTGAAGTGGAATACTCATCTTGCACATCTGACCTAGAAATTGTCTTCTACCATTTTCTGCATAAATCACTGCTGAATATTGCTATGGGGAAGCTCATCTGATATGTTTTCCATCTTTGTATTGCAAAAAAGACAATTAGGGCAATACATCCCAAGGAATGTATTGCCCTAATTGTTCTTTAAAGTTAAACTGCAAATACTTATTACCGTTTCAAGTCTGTACATATGGAACTGTTTGAAGTACTTCCATGTAAATAAACATAAATACAGCACGGACGGATAGTGTCACGACTATAGAACTAGGAGGCGGAGAGACTACGCCATTCCAGCTCACAGAATAAAATGCACACAACAAAGTATCCAATACTGGGCTATCAAATTTTATAATGAACTACCACATGAAATGAAAGTACTTGGTGCTTGGTGCAAGAACTTTTAACAAAGAAACGAAAGCACCACGCACACTTGATGAATATTTTAATTTGTTTAAAAATCAAAAGTGATTTTGTTGTTTTGTTTGTAATGTGTTTAAAAAATTTTAAATTTTAGTTTAGATTTAATATGTAGTAACATGCTTGTTTTGACGATATCCTAAACTGTATATCGGTTTTCGGAAAATAAAATTATTATTATTATTATTATTAATAATATTATTATGCGTGGCTTTTAGACCACAGTGGCGCAACGGTTGCAGCATAAAAAGATTACATCGTTACCGTAAATATTATGTACTTTCAGAAAATAGTTGAGAATTTCAAAGATTAAAGAAAATCAAAATTATATAATTACATTCTTAAAACGATTACTATTATTTATTAAATGTGGCACAAATAATCTATTCTGGGTTTGGGTGCACGCCACTGCAAACACGTTCTTCCCTTCCAACAAACAATGGATTCGACCGAAATAAACTGACACTACGCGCAGACCACTTGATGGCCCCTTTTGTTTTGCACCAAGCTCTATTTATCTTAGCGGCGAATAAAGTTTATTTTTATTATAATTATTGTTGTAATTACAAAAAATCGAACGCATTTTGTTTAGATGAATTGGATAACTTTGAATTTGAAAAGAGTTCTAAACTTGTCACTTTTATTTTAGTAGTAGATTTGTAAATAAAAAAAGGTAGTAATAAACTGAAAAAATTTTTACAATGTCTAGTAAAATTCATTTACAATAATCTCCTAAATAGCTAACATCCCTTAAACAAATTTGATTTCAACATGTTCAGCTATATTCATTTATTCTCATTACGTATTCCCCCTCACTTACTTAATGCAAAAAGGCAAATTACTCCCAAGGAGAAATTGTTCCAGTAAAATGTGGCATTAACCAGGAACAATCTTAGATTGCAGATATCAGGCATCACACAACCCATTTAAGGGTGCATAAGTGTTTCCCATAAAAGACCACAGTTACGCTGATAATTTGTACACAATCCATGAATAATCATGTTTAGTATAATTAATTACAAACCATTCGCGTTTTAACTCTTCTTTATAATTTTCTACTTACGATTTCATTTGGAGTTTTTTAAATGCTTTTTTTCTTAGCATGTCCCTTAATATAGGTATATAGAGGGTGCCGCATCCAAGTCTGGACATAGGGAATTAACATGGCAAATTGGTTTTTATTTTATAATAAGTATCTCCTCAGATCCCTTTAAAGCTATTATTGAGTGATGCCTTTGTGGAGGTCGAAGAGGGCTATCGGCCAGTATTTTTTTCAAATCGTTGCATTGCGCTCATTTACTGTAAGAAGGTTTTAAAAATCGTATTTTGAAATTCGCGCCCGACCCGATTTGTTGCGAAATATTCCGTCGCACTGTCGAAGTTCGGCGATCGCGTCTTTGGATTAACCATGCAAAATCCAAATGTCAAAGTGAAATTAGAAATTATTCTCAGAAATGAACGAACAACTCAAACTGAATTACTTTATCCAGTGTGATGATTATTGTAGGACAAATTAAACTGAATAAATGCACAAATCGATCCGTTCATTCGTCATAGTGCGCGACCCCGTCAAACGAGCCATCTCGAACTACACTCAGGCCGTATCCAAAAATCTCGAGATCAAGACTTCGAGCAGCTGGTCTTCCTTAAAACCCCATCGGCAGCATTGTGACATGTCCTGGGCGCCCGTCAAGCTAGGAATGTACTCACGCTGCGTCACAAATTGAATTATTTTATCCAATACTGCCGATGGGGTTTTGAGGAAGACCAACTGCTCGAAGTCTTCAGCTCGGGCTTTTTGGATACGGCCTAAGTGCAGTTCGAGATGGATCAATTTGTGCATTTATTCCGTTTAATTTGTTTAGACCTAGAAATTGTCTAGGTCTAAAAAAAAAGTTCCAAGTTTTCGGGAAAATGGTGTGAGCCGTTACCGATTTAGTAAACAAAATAACTTGATTCATTCATTAACTTTTATGAGTCACCCTCTATGAGCAATTTAAGAACTTTGAGTGCAATGATAAATCACGAGTATAGCCTCATCATATTTTGCACATTTTGGTTGGGATTTATTCGGCAAAATTTTGAGATGACGTCATCACTTTTTTGAGGAGGATAAACAGATATGCATACGATACTGTTGCGAAATAAACCAATACCCCGCCTCGGTACGATGGCCTATAGGCCTGGGAGCGCCCGGATGGAAGGAATGTCACCATGCAGTTTTTTCGGCTACCAGAATCAAGAAAGTACTTCGGGAGATGCACAATTGGAGTTCTGGTGCTCATTTTAGAATCAACAAGACGCTTTCCAAAATTAGGGAGATATTCTACTGGGTCCGTTGCCGCCAAGACGTCGAGAGCTGGTGCAAGAAGTGTAGGACCTGTGCGCCGGTTAAAGGACCGAAGATTAGGGCGAGAGGGCCGATGCAACCACACGACATCGGTTCGCTTTTTAGAAGAACTGCAGTAGACGTAGCGGGTCTCCTCCCTGTGACCGAAGAAGGGAACAAGGAAACGAAAAAGAGAAGCTACCGAGCGTGCACGAAATAAATAGAAGAATAGAGTCGCGAGTGGTGGAATGAAGACATGTTACGATCTTAGGAACAACTCAGTAGGGTTACAGGCGGGAGATTTGGTATGGCTTGATAACCCCCGCAGAAGGAATGGATTATAGCCCCTAGAAATACATAGTACCGTCATCCATTGTTGTACAAGTGGAGCAAATGCAGTTGGTAACGCAAAAAATTCCCCTAGTTTGGAACCAAATTGTGTCAGCAGCGAGTTGACCGCGCGTAAACCGTTGTTGTAACGTGGTCTTGGCGTGGTCTTTTTGTTTAAAGTCAATTAATTGTCAAGTAATATAACTAATAGTTATTAAATAAGATTTTATTGATTAAATTTTATATTTTATTAAAATTAAAAATCCATATTTTGTATATAAACTACAAATTTTAAAT